AAATTAGTTTTTTCCCTTTATTTGGGTTAAAAAGTTCAACCTTAAAGAGGTCCAAAGGACACCCAAATAGAGAGGTTAGTTTCAAAAGAACATACGTTCTTGGAAATACTTGAATTGTTCTTTGAAATATTTTATATAAATTTATTTCTCAATTTTAGATTCATTTCTATTTTAATTCCACACTTCAAAATGATCAATTCTAAATTTGGAATCTCTCTAACCAACATTATTATATAATTCTATCGTGATAAAACAATAAAATGATTAGGTTATAGCAAAAAAATTCAAATTAATTTAAATAGTTTTAATTATCAAGACTAATATCATAGATGCAAGCTAAGAAATTGAGACATTAACATATTAATGTATATATACATGAGAAAATGATTTTAAGGGATTTAAACGTTGATTGCATGAAAATTGAACTAACAACAAGAATTTAGTTCACCGAGGGATATATCTTACTAGTCAATGAAGTAGTTGAAACCAAAGTCTCCAGTTTAAATTTCAATGAAAACAAAACTGCTGAATATTCTCATTTGTCTTAGTTCTGTCGGACAAATTACCTGCTACATGTTGTTGGTGCGAAGTGTCAGATATCTTATGGCAATTATGGTAATCAAACATAAAATACTAAAATAGCACTATAGAAGTAACTTATAATGACAACCAAAAATTAATTCAACAAACCTTTAATAATCAATAATTCATTCGTAGCTACAAATCCAGAACCAGGAGCGGCTCAAGCATATTAGTGGCCTAAAAGAAAAATCAAACGGGGCCTTAAACTGAATAGTTAATAATTTTGATATGATTGATTTATTCTATTTTTCAATTGATAATATAATCTTTCTTATTTTGAAATATTTTTCCGAGATACAATATTCCAAATATGTCAAATTTATTCTAATAAATTTTTCATTTTTCATAAAAAGTTTATTTTTTCTACAAATAGCATTCAATATTTATTAAAAAATAATAACGTATAACGTATTATAATATAAAATGGGGCCGCTTAAATTTGAAGGCCTAAGACGCTTGTCTTTTTTTTACACGGTTAACCCACCCCTGCCTAGAGATTTTATCTACTAATCTCTTAGAAAACAAAAAGAAGAAAAAAACCTTTAAAAAGTGGACAACTTTCTACTTCCTATTATTGATCTTCACCTCTTTTCCTCCAAAAATTAGTTTTATAAACTATTTATAGAGTAAGCAATTCTAAGTAAAATAATTGAATCTAATACAGATTAGGAACTCAAAACCAAAAGGAATTAGATTTCCCAGTTGTACGCATGATTTGTCCAACCGCCTTAATTCTGCGCCTTTAATTAATTGGCTACTGCCTTCACAGATTGCCTCGTGGCACCATTCCATTAGCTGATTCGCAGTTAGCAAATTGCAATATGCAATCTTTGTACCATATATATTATATATTATTATATTAAATTTAATTCATTAACGTGGCTCCTTGATTTTTTTTCTTTAATCTTACGTCTTTAATTCATTTTAGCTCTAAATTTTTTTAATTTTTACACTATTTTATTCCTACAAATAAAATATATTATTTAGAACTATATATAAAATTAATATTCAAAAAGGATAAATAAAAATGTTAAATGTGAGAAAAATAATAATTAAAAATATATATTTCTGGCCTCATATCAGCACCCACACTTAATTTGAAAACATAAAGTACGATTCTCAATCATTATGCAAGACATCCAAATAAATAATAAACCTCTCACCTCCTAACCTCAAGGAGAGACTTCAAATTCAAATAAAGCTAATAAAATCACTTATCTATCATGAAACAAGTGTTGTAAAAAATAAATAGTCCACACACTCAATTCAAAAATTGAATATAAATTAAGGACTTCACATCAAGAATAACTCTTACACTCACAGAGAAAATTAACATGTATGCACAAAGAACCACATGTTTGCCCATTATGTACATCTCCACTAATTTAAGCATACTTGAATAGAATCAAATCGGACTTTAACGGTTTATAATGTAGGCTAAGAAACGGGTAGGAAAATTATATAATAGTGACTTACACTTCCTTAAGCACTTTGCAATTATTTCATGCGTTAAAGGTGCACGATGTCCTTGTAAGGACCAGGGCCAACATCAAAATAACTTCTTTTGTTCATCTCTTTTTTTTTCACATCACATTCTTTCAAAGAGGATTATTAAGCACTTTGTAGTTACCATTGATAACCTCAACTATCCCTTATTCTCACATTTAAATACAAAATAAGTCTATGCTATAATGTTCAAGGAATTAATGTTCAAAAACTAGGGATTCAACAAAATAGTCAACGAAAAAATATGGCTACCAACTAAAGACTACATGCTTAAAAAGGCTAACTAGTGATATAATCCTATTAATCACTAGTGAAAAGGGTAAAATTACCATACAAATCAAAGAAAGCCTATTATCACCTCATGAACAAAACAACACTTTTATTTCGTTTCAATAATATGCAGGTTAAGTTCTAGACTAAGATAAAAAACATGAAATAAACAAAATCTCGCCACACATGGAATAAGTATCTATCAAGATGGATCAATTGCGCTTCTAAGGACATGATAATAAGAAACTACAATATGAAATAAGTTATATACAAGGTCACCATTATGAGCTTAGATGTCAAAGAGTCTGCATTGTTTTATCAAGCATTCACAAGAAAGTTTTACAAAAACAAATTAGACCTAAATAGCAAGTATCACAACACTCAAAAGGGTCTTTTTTCTCTCAAAAAAAATATAAAAAAATAATTATTTATTCCTAAAAAAAGACACTCGATTCAAAGGGACTATCCTCGAAAAAAAAACAAGAAACAAAATGTGAGGAACCCATTGTACAAAAAGGACGCAATAAACCAGTAAAAATTATGAATTCAGGAATTCATTCCTCCACCTCTCACTTAAAAACACGTTATGTCCCCAAAGCATCAAATAACATTTGAACCAATGGTTAAAAAACTTCCTGAGGCCTTTAGGTCTAGCTAGTAGCATGTTCTCTCAATTTTCATCAAAGATCGTAACCCCACACTTAAGCTCAAACATGCTTCTTAGTCCAAATGTTGGATACTCAGAATTCTCTAAAATCTGTAAAAACAACACAAAAAATGACGCTAAAAAAATAAAAACTAAGAAGTTACACTATAAATTGGGTTGCCTCTAATAAACGCTTAATTTAACGTCGCGACAGGACTCAAATAAATTTACCACTTTTCTTTCCACTTTGAACTTATGCATTTCACCTCTGACTTTACATCAAATTTTCTGCGCCTCTCAAGGGGTGTCAGTATAAAGATAAAGAAATCAAGTAATATATGTTGTATCTTGCACTTTTTTTCCCTTCAGTGAGGAGTGCCGTTTTGTCTACATGGACTAAAAAACTTTAGGATATGTGAGCTTTGTTCCTCATCAATACACTCATCCATTAGTTTAGATTGTATACAAAAGTGTTTTACATGAGATTCAAAATGCCTAAACTCCAAAGCAACATTATTTACAACATTCTCACTTTTGTACTCTTTCTCAACCTCAATATTAAGGAATAAGGTGTAGTTGAATGATTAAAATTCCTCTTTTTGCTCCACTAGTTGGTCATAATACACAACAATCGATAATTGGGCTTTAGACTCGTCAATCTTTTTGTTCAAGTGAGCCTCTAAGTCATGAATATCTAAGCCAAATTGATCAATTTCTTATGTGAGCTTATTTTTTTCTTTAATCAGATGGGTAGACTCTTCAATCTTTAGAAGTTGAATTCGTTCATATATCCAATATTGACTCATTATTCTTATTCTCCATAACTCTCTCCTTGTTGGGCACCAACCTCTTATAATTCAGCTTGGATTGTAATTTTTGATTGAAGAACATCAAGCTTATATTCTAATTCGATGATTTCTTTGTACCCTTCTGTTCATTCAAATATTTGTCCAGTGATTTTTGAATTAATCTTGTTCAACATGTATGTACATTGAAGCGCCTATTGTTTTGCATTCTCTGCTTTATCGCCCCTACCAACATCACAAATAACAGAAGAATTATAATAGGGATTTGAGGGAAGGGAATAAGTTCTTGGACAAACATTCCAGTAAATATACTAACGGCCACATATATGACATGAAAGACTTGCATCACTCAATCAGGATTTATCTCAACCATACATATCAATAAGAGTACGAAATAATTCAAAAATAGAAAAAAAATAATTGTTGAATTCTTTTTATAAAAAGTAAATTAATAAATAAAAAGAAAAGTAAACCTATAAGATTAGTTAATTTCTAAGTTCATGTGTATGTGATCGCGCAAGTAATACAATGAATCTTAAAAGAACCAGATTATCAATCCCAAAGGACTTGTCAATTAACTATTTTTTACTAAATTATACAAGTCTAATTGTTTTTTTAAGAATGCCAAAAAAAATGTAGAAATAAAATTATATAATTACTTGCTATAGTTTAGAAAATCCCAGGGCTGCAACATGTATTGAATTTCATGTATCATAATATTGTCTTAGAATTAATTTTAGTCCTCAAGTTACTGATTTACAGGGTTAATTGTACGAGTTGGGTTAAGACATCTAGTCATCGACCCCAGTTAACTATCTAACTACATCGTTGAGTAGGAAGAAATAGACTAACTGACAAGCATTTATATTTCATCCTGTTTAATAACCAAGCGAGTTGTTCGTCTGGACATTACTCTTGAATACAAATCATCTCAACTTAATGAGTCGATCAGGCTCTTTATATACTCTGATGTATCTAACCTCTCCTCTCTCGATTTAAAATTAGACAATATATTTTTCTTATAGTGATCAAGCATTAAATACTAAAATAAGAACATAAAAGTAACTTATAATAACAACTAAAAGTTAATTCAACAAGTCTTTAATAAATCCATTTGTAGCTACTACCCCAAAATAAAAGCTTTAGCTACTACTCTCTAAGAAATCAAGAAGAATAAAAAAACCTCTGTCTCCTCCAAAATAATTATTTTTATTAACTATTTATAGAGTAAGCAACCCTAAGTAAAGTAATTGAGTCTAAATTAAATTAGAAACTCAATCAAACGGAATTAGATTTCCCATTAGCTGATTCGCAATTAGCACGTTGCAATATGCAATCTAGCACCATATACATTACATACTAGTAAAGAATGCCCGGGCACAAAAACAAAACTACCGAAAAGGTTATTACAATATATTATGCTCATAATTAAAGCGGGCAGTTTAGTGATTGAGTTGAGTATGCATCTTGATTAGTCTGCAGGAGGTATTTCGTTTGGGAACGACCATTTTGGAAATGAGCGGCAAAAAAGGATTGTAGCGTATTGTTTTAAAATGTACAAAGTGTAACATTTGTTGCATTGAATAAACTCCTAACACTGGTAACCCTGCAAAGATGCAAGTGAAGATGTATTAAGCATAAATTTTCTCCAGAGAAAGTGTTTTTATTGTTTCTACATGAGATTAAAATGTATTCATTGGTTTTGTGGTTCAATCTACAAACTCACAAATTTAGCAATGATGTGTGAAAAATTTGCTGTGTATTATTTCCCAATACTTATCATGGTCATCTATGGGCACATAGTAAAGACAAGAGCTATGATGATCAAGGAGCAGATTAACCATTGAAAACAGATGGTTTATCAACTTGACGAATAACACACTGATAAATAACATTTGCCTCTTGAATGGACTTATTTTGATTACTATAAAAAAGGATTAGCTTATATGTAACACGATTAAAGCCATTGTATTCTCGGTTTTCAACTTAGAATGGTGAATCATGTGCCAAGGAATGAAGGTTAGATCAAAACATCTTGTTCAAACTTATCTTGTTGTATTTTGAAAAAGAGTAGGTTTCTCCCAGTACACACTGACCTGCATGTCCCTTGTGTGGAGCAGTAGTTGCACTCACTGCAAAGAAAGTAGAAGAAATACAAAAACATTAAATAGGTTGCACACTTATTCATATAAGTTGAAAACAACATATCTAGTGTTATTGTGTGCTTTAGGTAGTCTTTCAATAGGGTAAAGGTTTTAAAAAGTCCACTATATTTTAATTCGGACTCATAATAATTCTATTACATATGGATATGAAATGAGGGCAAAAATACAGTATCACATTTTTAGAGTACTTGTTAATCCTTGTGTTCTCGCAACTACTTCATACCAGAAAGATTTGCATAACTGAAATCTCTATATTACTTGATGAGTTTATTAATTAACATTATTGTCAATTCTATGAATCGAATAAAAATGTTATCTTTGAGATACCATGGCATGATTGATTTTCAGATTTGCTTCTTCAAAACTATTGAAGAGTTGCAGGCTGACAATCTTTCAGTGAAATGTGGATTGTCGGGTAGCAATAGAAATTTGCAGAGAAAGTTTGATGAAGTTAACAAAATCAAAGTGAATTGTTACCTTAGCTATGGAAAGGCTCAGAGAATAATTTTATTACACACTATATTATATAAATTTCAACAAAATCTATTGTTTTGTAGAGAGAAAATTGTCTTCTTTTAAAAGCTGAATGAGAAAATTATAGGAAAAATTGAAGGCTCAGTAAATGTTCAAGTTAGAATCTTACACATGATGATTGTCGATATGTGATAAAGCGCAAAAATACAAAAATGCATGAGTCAAGAAAGGCTTAAAAATATAGAGAAGCCCAAAGTCAAGTTGAAACGAAAATTCAAAGAGGCCTCGCGGGCAAGCAAATAACAGAAGCATTGCAAAATCAAATGGCAGATGCCGAGTTAGGGAATCAAAATCAAATAAACACCCGTGAAATTTGTGTGGAAGACACTCACCTGATATAGGAAGCAGCGGCAGACTCCACCAGCGTGCAAAATTGAGAGCGAGCGAAGAGGAGAGGAGAACCGAGGTGCGAAGATGACATTGTTTGCTGGTCGGCCGAATTTGACGTGTGGCGGTGCTGCACGTCAAAGGAGGCGTTAAGGTTTATGCAATATTGTAGAATCATGTGAAAATTATGTTCACCTGGACACAACTATGATGGAGAAGAGAAGAAGAGGAGAGAGCAGATGGAGATGGTGGATAACAATGGAAGACGCCATAGAATTGATGCAGAAAAGACAATTGACAGAAATAGCCAGATGACTTTTCATTGTTTTGGTTGGATGGAAGGACCATCACTTATTAAGAACGATTACTAGTATATGTTCCCGTGCATTACCCGAATTTTTAACTTTTTGTTTATTTTAGTTTGATTCAACCACAAGCAAATACTTTATATGTTTTTACATGTTTTTACATGTTTGGACTACTACTATGAATTATGTTTTAATTGAAATAATATTATATCCCTGTAACAATTAGTGATATTCGAATGAAACCATCTCTATGTCACAAATATCTTACTTTGATATTAAAAATAGAGGGAATTTATCGATAGCCCCTTAAACATTACATTAACTTTCATTTAAACACCTTAAATAGATTTTATTTATTTTGAACACTTGTAATAGGCTTTTATTGTGTCATTAGGACACTTTTCGCTGACTCAGCAATATAGGTGTGTTGTACGAATTCTGAGCGCGTTTGAAAAGTTTTTTTAAGAATTTTTTTTCGTCTTCTTCCTCACTTTCCTCTCTCTTTTCACCACCCTCTTGAATTTATTTATTTTTTGTTCTTCTTTCTCATGCTTTCTCTTCCACTTTTCACCATCATACAATTTTTTTTAGGTTAGTGTATTACTTAATTTCTGCCTCATTCTTGAGAACCAATTTTTTTTTTGTGATCTCACATTTAATTTTTCATCCATAGTTTTTTGTTAGATAATAATCGCTTATTACTAATCATTTTCTCTTAAGCGTGCAGACCTATTGAACATCAAAACAAAAAAATGATTACAGTTTCAAAATAGAAGCATTTCCCTGAAATTTTACTTCGTTTTAATCTCAATCTAATTTTTTTCTTCCCATAATGTTTGTATATTCACTAGAAAATCAAATAAATAATTATGTAAAGTTGCATATCAGATAATTAATTTTCGAATTTATAATTAATATCCTTAGCAATTACGATAAAGATGTATATTTCAAAGGAGATTTGTGTCTTTCTTTGCAACTATAGTGACATGTGATAAGAGAAAATACAAATTGTACTTTTTCCCTGTTTCTGTTCGTGGTGGAGTTTTAGAAGAAGAAGACATGTAAAGAAAATAAAGAAAGGGGTGGGACCCAGGTTAGAAAATGAAGTTTTTTTAAAAAATAAAAATAAATTCACGTGTCACATATAGATTCATTTATTTCTTCACGTAAAAAGTGTTTGTCCAACGCGCCTAAGCTAAACCTGAAAATATAAAAAATATGTCAAAATGATACAATCAAAACCCACTTTAGGAGTTTAAAATGAATAAAGACTTACTTAAACTGGCTAAGTGAAAGTTAGTGTCAAGTTTAACGAGTTACCGATGGGTTCAGCCTTAAAAATAAAATGTCATAAATTATACATTAAAAGAATTAAGTACACAATTATTTTTATTTAATTATATATTACATATAACATAAAATAAAGTAAGGCCAAACACTATTATTTTTAAATAAACATAAATTCCTAAATTTTAGGCCTACAAATATTACAAAAAGAAAAAGACAAAAATACATGGAAGAAGAATCCATATTGATACTTAGTTAGTTAATATATTTTTTTGTTTATTTTCTGATTTTATCATCTTCTTTTTTTGGAATCGAAAAATATCCTTTTCATTTATAAAGATTTTTAGATTTAGAATACTTAACATTAGATTTTAATTTTTTAAAGAAGACCATCGTTAGCCATGTATTTGAAAATAGTTAGTTAACATTTTTCTTTTTGTAACTTTTATGCTTTTATCTTAATCATTTTTTTTGTTTAGAAGTAAAAAGTATTTCAATTATTTGTAATTTTTTTATTTTTTGATACAATCAAATATCATATTAGGTATATGAAAATGAAATGGAACATATCACTTTTTGTCATGTATGTAAATTACCTTTAAAATAATTTTAATTTTAATTTTTAATTTCTAATTTTAAAATAGTTTTATTAATTAAATATAAAATTATATTTTGAAACACTTCATCATGCATGAAATAGTTATTATAGCCCCATATTTATCGTTCATTTTCTGATTTTATCTTCTTGTACTTCTTTTGATTTAAAATTTAAAAGTATTTTTTTCTTTTAAGTAGATATCCAATTTTGAATAATTCATATTTAAAAAAATAATTTTAAATCAATATAATGATGATTCAATTTTATGATAAATCTCATATTAAAAGATTTACATATAAATTTCTTATTGTGGAGTCGTCTTAATATTCATAAAACATAATAAAAATAAAAGTAAATTATGATAATGACTGAATTACCTATCTCCTGAATAAAAGAGAATTCATAAGTCATAAATTTTACTTAAATGGATTATTTCATTGCAAATTGCTATGCTAATGACATAAATCAAAATTGCAATAAATAATAAATGACTGTTACGAAAAATACGAAAGAAAATTCATAAGTCATAATTTTGCTTAAATTAATTATTTTATTGCAAATTGTACTGTTACGAATTACGATCTTGCTTGACGACTTCAACACTAACAAACACATCCAAATTTGAATATTTCATACTTTTAATAAATATTTTAAATCAATATAATAAGATTCAATTTTTTGATAAATCTCATAACCAAAAAAAACTTACAGGTAAATTTCTTATTGTGGATTTGTTTTAATATTCATAAAATAATAAAAATAAAAATAAAATATGATAATGATTGAATTACATATCTCATGAATACAAAAGATAATTCATAAGTCATAAATTATGTTTAAATGAATTATTTCATTGCAAATCTTAATGATAATGACATAAATTACAATTGCAATTAACAATAAATGATCGATTTTTCCTCTTTTCATAAATCATCTACAATGAAATGAAGATAAATACGAAAGAAAGTTCATAGGTCATAATTATACTTAAATTAATTATTGTATTGCAAATTGCACTAGTACGATCCTGCTTGATGACTTTTAACACCAATAACGTATTTGGTAACATTTCAAAATGACCATTACATTAATGGTAGAACTTGTGAGGCACTTTCTTCTAAACAACACTATTCACTTTGATATCAACATAATTTAACTTTCAACCTACTTGAGAATTTTGAAAATCGAAGATCACGTCGATATCAAACCATGATATGCCACATTTTTTTCCTACTCTCTTATCATAATTATGTTAATATCAAATCATGATATAAAAACAATTGAAATATAAGATATATAAAAAAGTAATTACCTGATTCGATGATGATCTTGTAGAAAGAAGAAACAAAATCTCCTTAAAGGAGGAAAATTTGTATAATCTATTTTGTGAACAACTTGTCTAATGAAGTTTTTAGTTTCAGAGAAAACCAATATATAGAAGTGACAAGAAAAATGGAAGTTACATGAACTCAACTTTATTAGGTTTATATATTTTAATTTTGAAAAATTGTCACTTACTTTTTGAAATAGTTTTGAATTTCTATCTCGTTTTTTAATTAATTAATAATTAATATTTTATTAATTAGTTTTTAGAGTTTGTATATAAGTAGGAATGTAAAATATTCCTAGGAAGTTTTAAAACTGCTTATTTGAATTTTATGTGTTAGTTAAATATAGTATTATTATTAATATTAATATATTATTAATGT